CATGTTCTCTATTTTCTGTCTTATTTGTGCCTGAAGCTCGCTACTGCGGAGCTCATCACCTGTGCTGTGGTGATGTCACCTCACGCAGCATCGAAAACGCGCTCTGCGCTTTTCGGTCAGGAGATCCCTTTGATCTGCTCAAAAGTAACTGATGAGGTGAAAAGGTAAGAATCCAGGCAACAGATTTTCTGGAGAATTAAGAGGAGATGCAGGAAGGTGAGAGACAGACAGGACAGGAAAATAGTTAAATAAAAACAAGAAAACAAAACAAAGTGTTGAAAAGTCAAATGTAGGTAGATTTATCTCCACTACACGTTTTTACCAGTAAAAAACAAGTTATACACATGTAATATTTATACATCTGATACAATTCAGATCACCTTCAAAACTCAGTCACACACCCAGGGCCGTTTCAAGACATTTTGGGGGCCAAGGCAAAATGCCCCCCCCCCCCCCCCCCCATAACTGGGCTCCCCAGAAGCCTCTGTGTAATTCATGCCCTCTCCAGTAGTGTTAGTTATACGGTGTTTATAAAAGCCCCTCAGACATTACTGACATGTTCTAATATTATCAGATGAAAAACTAAATTATCAGACATGCTGTCTCATCTGCTTCTTTTATAAACTTGCAAAAAGTAACAAAACCATTTGAAAGCCACTATTTGTGGATTCTCTGAAAGTTTCCATGGAGTGTGTGACAACTTATTTTTTCATTGATCCTATCGTCTAATCTCACAGCTGAAACAAGCATCCTTAATAATCTGTGCACAGGAAGCTTACCGATGCTGTAGTAAAACAAAAGGTATAATAATTTATTATTAATAAAACCTTGTTGCAGCACTAAAGCAGAAAAATTAGATTTTGCATTAAATATGCAAAATATTTACATATGAATTGTTTTAGAGCCCTTTAATTGGCAGAATCTGATATTAATTTAGTTCTTACAAAAAATGGGTCCCAACATGGTTTGTGTGGCGTTGCCATAGTGTGACGTCATAGGCACAGATCCCCTGTCCTCTTGTTTGGAAATGGAAATATGATCACCCTACATTAAACAAACTGTCCACCCGGGCTTTTGCACTGCACAGAGACGCTTCGCTGCCTACGACTGAACGTCAGTTGAGAGTCAGTCTCATGCAGACTGACCAATGAAGAGAAGGCCTCAAGTTAAGACCCTCTCCTCATTGGTCAGTCCACACGAGGTGGGTCAAAGGTTACTCTGGGCGGGTTACGTGTTGTCAGGCATTCAAGTATTGAGTATATTTACTGCATATTACAGTAAAATATTCTGTATGTGACCACATTATGGTGATCCTTGGGTCGTGATGATGGAGCCCTTGAATATTGTTGCCCAGGGTACAACAAAGTGTTAATCTGGCCCTGGTTCCGCCGTCACATTCCCGCAGAAACTGGTTGATCACACCGGGGCCAGACTACTAGCATGTGGTTTTACGACCACAATGTCCTCAGAAGCAAAAACGCTTTTAAAAGGGAGGGAGGAGTCCTAACTGTTGCTGCAGGCGTGTTGTGTGAGAGTGCAGTTATATACTGGTTAATATATTTTTGGGTTCAGTTGCTTTCATGTGGCCTAATGTGAGTCTATTTGGGATCATTGGAATGATCAGCAGCATTTCTTGATGTGACTTTATGGCAGTTGCCCAGGGCATCATCGCAAGGACGATGGCATTCATTTACTTTTGTTTTATTTGGTATTTTTTCAGTCATTTTTGGAAATAGTGATCAATTTTGATTAATTCACAGCCTATGTTTAATTACATTTAAAATAAATGTCAACAGATGAGATCAAACAAAACAGATGAGAATTGCCCTTAAGCTGTTTAACTTGGACCAAGCATTTTAGGTCACAGATAGATGTAGCTTAGGGTCTCTGTCTATACACCTTATAAGACAATTTAGGTGATGGCATGCTGTTTTTCTGCTATTGAACTGTTTTCTAATAATGTTGTGTTAAATAAAGTGAAGGAAGGAGAGAAATAACGTTTCCCAAGCAGTTTTTAAAAATTTCCCCATGTAATCCGATTAATCGATTAATCGTGTCGAGACCCCATCCGATTAATCGATTATCCAAATAATCGTTTGTTGCAGCCCTATATTAGACAGCCAACTCTCTTGGCTCTGCCCTTAAAGTAGTCTAAAAAAGCACTATAAAAATACCCCCATCGCCCATTATCCAGTGAAGAATGGCAAATCGTGGTGGGGAGGAGAAGAGGAGTTTTTCACAGGGAGCGTAAAATTTTGATCAAGTCAGAAAGTTTTACTGGACAACTTATCCTCCAAGATCAGAAACGAATGAAAAACATCGAAGTGGAACATTAAAACAAACCACATTTTAGTTTTATTTAGTAAGATTGCTGCATATTTGTTGAGTTAGAGGCTAGAGTGGATGTACAGACACGGTGCTTTCTCAGGACCACATCTTCATGTGCATGTACACGTGAATGCTGCCATGCACAAGCGCTATTTATGCATGAAAGTCCAGGACTCGGCTGTTTCTAAACCCGGAAGAGCCAATTATTCCTTTTATTCTTTTGTTTTCTAACCTCAGATGCTAGAAAAGAAGAATTAGCTCTGGTATCAAAACAAATCTAAAGCGTTTTGATGCTGCAGGCAGAGCGGTTGGCTGGCTGGCCGTCAGGCAGATGGAGATGAAGGGATTGAAATTTAGCTGCAACTTTTTCAGTGAGCTACAAGTGAAAGATGATAGGCGGGATGAGATGGATTGGATGGGAGGAAGAGTGAAGGGAGGAGGGGGTGTGACAAGCAGAAGATGAGAAGCTCTAGGTAAACAGTTCATGGCAGGGTTCTTTACAGCTGATGAATGACAACAACTGCTCACCCCTTTCCTCCTTTCTCCCTCTCCTCCTCCTCCTCCTCGTTACGGGGCTCCTCTCTGAGTAAACTGTGTTGGAACAGCCAGAGGAAGGCAGAAATTACAGTTAAAAGAGTAGAAACTGATGTTGATGGATGCAGACGGACAGCTTGTCCTACCAGGAGGAGGAAGAATGGATGTTTTCTGATTTTTGAACGATGAAGTGGAGCGAACCTGTTGCAGCTGCTGCTCTATGACATGAATAATTCCAGGCTGTGATTGGTTCTTTTCCTTGGTGCCGTTGCACTGACACTCGTCAGATTAACTCGTGATATTATTTCACTCATGCTGTCAAAGTGACACTGGCTGCAATAAGAATCGGTCCATCAGAGGAGTGATTCAGCGCAGTAATCAGCTGAACGCGGCGTAGCTGCAGCAGAAAACAACATGCTGTGATCTTTAACCACACCTTGGTGGTTTTCTGGCTGCTTTCTGAGGCAGAAAGTTTTATTCTAACAATTTTATCAAAATATTTTAAAATATTCCATCCAACCCTGTAGCTTTTAATTATTTTTAGTAAAACATTTAGGTGTATGTTTTATCCACACATTGTGCATGATTTAATGTATGAAAATAACACTGTAACTTGTCTTTATTTGTAGTTTTTAATAATAATGGTGTATGCACAATATATAATTTAATTATATTAAATTTTATACAAATAATGGTAACATTTGCAAGAAATTTCTAATGTAGACCCCTTGTATTATAAATAACTATAGTAAATTTTCAAAATAAAATTAACTCCTCGGACCAATTTATTTGAAATTGATTTATTTTTAGAAGTTGTTTTTATTTTTCTGTGTGCCGGTCATGAGAGGTTTATTACCAGGCCAGAGTTTATTATTTAATTCTGATGACGCAAAACTAAATATTGTTTTGATTGCAGTTGCAAAATAGAAAGAGAAGAAACATTTGGACTAAAATGTTGCTACAACCTCAGCTAGATTATCCTGGTTAAAGTTAATCTGTGTTTTGTGGGATCAAAGCTGTGACCAAATGCCCAAAGAAAATCAATTCTTTGTAAAAATTGTCCAAGGAGGGAATTTTCTGTGTTTGCCTGAGGAGGCTTTTAGATTCTTTTCATGCACATTAAGAGGATGGAAACAACTTTTGCAAATCACATCGGACATGGCACAATGTGACTCACCAGTTATTTCCGACACAATAAACTCGCTGACTAATCAGTTTACCAGAAGTTCTGAAAGAGTTTTTCCCCAAAACTCGGCAGATTTCTATTTTTTCTCCTTGTTTTTGGTGATTTTTACAGACATTGTTCATCCTCATTTATTCACTTCAATCTACTTGATGGAACATAATTAGTTTCTTTGTTTTTCTAGTTTTATTTTTTTTAAAAGTTTAGTCAAAATTTCACTTTGAAGAAAAACATCTAACCAGTTAAAATGTGGCAGTATTAAATACATGTTTTGGTAAATAGAAAATATTGTTGTTTGTAGAACGAAAGTGACGAAAAACCTTAAATAGTGTCATAATTATTCCCGCTTTACATGGGAATGAAATCTGTTGCAGTAACACAGCAGAGGATCACACACACCATGACACAGATTTCATTTGTGAATAAAAATTCAATTTAAAAATGTTTTTTCCTCTCTACAGAATACAATAATTCGTCTAGATATTTTTCTAAAACTATTAACTTTCTTTTATTGTGTGGTATTTAAATATGTGACAAAAATGTATCTATGGTGTGGTTTCATCCCTGCTCCATAGAGAGCATCCTGACCAACAGCATCATGGTGTGGTACAGCAGCAGCTCTGCAGCTGACAGGAAGACCTTGCAGAGAAAATAACTAACACACCTTCCTGTCCTGGATGACACCTTCACCACCCGCTTCCTTTGAAAAACCATGAGCATCCTAAAGAACCCAACCCGCCTTTCTGTCCCCAATTGTGATGACAAATGTCAGAATTCTGGGATTAAAGTCAGAATTTAGAGATAAAAATCTGAGTTCTTTTTATGTTTTGTTTTTGTTTTGTTTTTTGTTCCCCCTAATCCTCTTCAGGATATTTCAGATTTTCCTCTCTACAGAATCATTTGGAGTAGTGATGCTAATGAGAACAATGGCCGCTAAACCTGCTTTTTTCCTCAGGTTATATTTGAAGCCGTGGTTTCGGACAGCAAAGCTGGTTTCATCGCCATCGACGACATTCAGGTGCTCAGCTACCCATGCGGTGAGTCATTATCATGCCAGCAATTAGTCCTAGTTGGCTGGATAGAGGCTGATGGCTTTGGCCACTAATTAGACTGTACCTGGGATGGTTTCTGTTGCGGCCGAGCGGGTAGATAAGTGGGAAGGTGACACAGGAGAAAAAGGAGAGAAATAAAAAAATGGAGGGATTGTGAGACAGGAAAACGGAGAGAAAGAAGGGATGAGGGAGAGTGAAGCGGGAAATGAGACAGTATTAGGGCAATCGTGGAGAGAGAAGATTGTGACCACTCAGCGTTTTCACTCCACGTTTAACACACACGCACTCGCACACACACACACACACACACACACACACACACACACACACACACACACACACACACACACACACACACACACACACACACACACACACACACACACACACACACAGTGAACAGTCACTGTCTTGTCTCCACTCAGACAGGAAAGAGATCAGCGCTCCAATCCATTTTAAATTCTGGCTACGTCTACGGTCTTCTCCTCTCTCCACTCGAGTGTTCCCTCACCGCTCGAGGCGAAAACGAGTTGTGACGACAGCCTGCTACTGGTAACAGAAGGGTCTGTTAATCTAAAGCCACGGGCAGGTTCCTGGAGGGGCTTCACGCTGGAAAGTGAGCCGTTACAACTTTGCTCAGTCGTTTGTCTGAAAGCAGCAGAAATCATTCAAGGCAATAATGTTTCCTAATAGATTTTATTGATTAAAAGTCACAAAAACAAACCGTCTCGTGGCGTTCCTCTCTAGGGTTTGTGAGGGTGAGGTATTCATAGACTGTGGCAGGGATTGTTGATATGTCGGACACACTCCTGAAGCAGAATCCTCAGAAACTATTAAATGAAGAAGACCCTCAGTTGCCCAAAGGCAGCAGGACTCCTGAATTAAGGAGCAAGTATTTGAAAAGGAATTAGTAGTTCGTCTGCACAGTGGAAGCATTCATCCTCACAGCTGCATTTCTGGACACAAGTGTGTGTGTGTGTGCGTGCGTGCGTGTACGCGTGTTCATTAGCATGAGTGTGCGATTGTGTGTGTGTGTGTGTGTGTGTGTGTGTGTGTGTGTGTGTGTGTGTGTGTGTGTGTGTGTGTGTGTGTGTGTGTGTGTGTGTGTGTGTGTGTTCCGTCGCCATAGAAGCTGCTAGCTATGATTGCAGTCGCACCAACAGAATAAAAATGTCATCACTGGATGCATCTTCTGCACTAAACAGCCACTTTCCTGTGCAAGGATGTCTGTGATGAACTGGAAGCTATTTAAATTATACACACTGGAAATGATGTTGATATTACCTCATGTGGAAATTCAGCACTTTTGATGTGTTCTGATTAAACCACAGCAGCAGTACAACTGAAGGACTTCCGTGGGCTCTGTAATAACCCGAGCTGTTCGGCATCTCATTCACACGTTCACATGTGGTGGTGAAACAAAAACATCACAGACATGAACCAATCTGATTTTCTCTTTATTTGTTTGGCCTCGCTTCCTGCAGATAAATCCCCTCATTTCCTGCGTCTCGGAGACGTGGAGGTGAATGCTGGGCAGAATGCCACATTTCAGTGTATCGCTACCGGACGGGACACGTCCAACAATAAACTCTGGCTGCAGGTACTCACTCAGTCACTCACTCACTCGCACACTCTCTCTCTCTCTCTCTCTCTCTCTCTCTCTCTCTCTCTCTCTCTCTCTCTCTCTCTCTCTCTCTCTCTCTCTCTCTCTCTCTCTCTCTCTCTCTTTCTCTCTCTCTCTCTCTCTCTCTCTCTCTCTCTCTCTTTCTCTCTCTCTCTCTCTCTCTCTCTCTCTCTCTCACACTCACACTCACACACACACACACACACACACACACACACACACACACTGTAACAGGAGTATCTGAAATGCTTTTTCAAGTTTTGTTGTTAGTTTATTTTTTAAATAAGTTCAATTCAGTTTATTTAAATGGCACCAAATCACACCAAGAGTCATTTCACGTTACAAAGTAAACATTCCAGTTGAATCTACTTATCAGTGCATTGAAATCAGTTCATTATTCCAATTCATTTAAAGGTTCCTACATAAGGAATGCAGCAGACTGTATCGAGTCGCAGACTTGTGATTTTACAGCAATCCTCGTACTAAGCAAGCATGTAGCGACAGTGGAGAGGAAAACTCCCTTTTAACCCTCCCACTGTCCTAATGGGTAAGACCCCGTGAGGAAAGTTGGCGATTGAGCAGGAGTGAGGAGTGAGCACCACCTCACCCCGCCACGTGGACCTCAATGGATAAACCATCAAACCTGCTCAATGGTCAACATTCCTCACGGGGTCACCCATAAAGACAGTGGGACGGTTAACAGTAAGAAACCTCCAACGGATGCATGAGCAGCCATCCTCCACAACTGGACATAAGCAACAATAGTAATTTACCTCATAAAAACAAATATTATTCAGCTAAAACGTTTGCATGTAAGATAAAAGATGCAAAACTTTACTTATGACTTATTAAAGTCATGCTAAGCAACCATTTCATGTTTTAAATAATTTTCTTGAGCCACATGTACTAAAATGACCCTCGACAGTGTTGATCAAATACCATTCAGACCCCACCGCCCGCTGTGGCCAGAATACCGCACTTGCAAATCCAGAGTAAAGTAGAGCTGGCATACCTGGTGCTGCAGTCTGCTTCCAGCACCTTTCCTGCATGTTTTAGATCATAAACACAGCTGATTTGCTGATGAATCACTCCTGTAGACACTAATGAAGGCGGAGGAAACATTTCAGCTGTTAGATTAAGGTGTTAAAAAGACAAACGCACAGCGAGGAGATAAGTTTCACTTTTGGTTTTAACAGTGAATTAATAACGGACTCTAGGGGGTGCTATAAACAAGCTAATGTTACCAAGTGTGCCTTTAAATTAAGAAAAGGCCCGGCACATCACCTCTGTTTGAGTTTCATATATATATATATATATATATATATATATATATATATATATATATATATATATATATATATATATATATATATATTTATATATATTTATATTTATATTTAGCTGTAACAACGGTTTAATATGTTTTAAAATCTCATGTCAACTTTGATCCAAGTAACAAAGGAGAAAATGTTGCAACTTCTCAATCTGCAATATTCGCATGCTAATGTGGATGAATGTACACGGTCTCACGTTTAGGAATTGCATATTTGTGTTCGGTAAGAGAATAAAAATGTAAGATACACACACACACACACATACACACACACACACACGGCAACTGCTGGCCGTACATCTAACGTGATTAGGAGTTTAATAGCTGCTGCTTTCGTTAAAGCTCTATTGAAGTCATGACCTTGGTAGTTGGTGATGCTGAGAGGGATGACACATGTTTTCGTGCTGACTTGTGACCTTGAGCAAGGCACAGATCATCTCATTCGTCCACATGTTTTATCTCTCCTTCAGCGGAGAAACGGAGAGGATATTCCAGTGGCTCAGACCAAAAACATCAACCACAGACGCTTTGCTGCCTCCTTCCACCTCAAAGAAGTCACCAATCAGGATCAAGATCTGTATCGCTGTGTCACCCAATCAGAGCGTGGCTCGGGGGTGTCCAACTTTGCAGGTCTTATCGTCAGAGGTAAAGAACTATTTTTTTTTACCTGTGTGGCTGAGTCGCTGCGGTTATTTGTGGCTTTCTTGTATTCATTTGTCATTCGGGGGATTTATTTAGCAGGATCAGAGGGAAGTTTTAACACCACGCCCTGATCGTTTTCATTCTAGTTTGTCAACATCCAACTTTTAAATGTAGTAGTTTTCAGTTAGCTGATAAAAAAAGTCCAACAGTGATATGTTGTGACTTAATGCTGGTTAATTATTGGTGCTATAGGGTGGAGTGATGCAAATATCTGTTTATGCTTTGCTTTCTAGCAGTCAGATCAGCAGTTCTCCAGATGATTATCATCAGATTTGTTTTTTCAGACAAAAATATGTCTTTTAAGTTGTTATCTTGACGTGTTTCGACTGTCTGCTGCAGTCGTCCCTCAGAGGCAGAGAAAAACAGCTGATAAAAACATGTCACACCTGGTGACACATCTGAGCATGTCAAGTTTAGTAGGGATAAAAACAGCTTTTCCCTTCAACATTACTTCATAACAACTGATGATGATCATTAAAAAAGACATAATGAGCTTAAGTGTATTAAACGTTTCCAGGTTTCTCAACGGTCCTTTTTATTTAGACCCTAACCCTAATCAGTAAGTGAAGGTTTCAGTCCCAACAAACTACGAAAGATTAAGTTTGTCTAAAAAATTCGTCTTGGTGCAGAACCTTACCCACTTTGACCCTGTGCTGCAGCGATAATCCACCTCTCAAGGAATGGTTCACTCACTCTTAGCACATAAAGTTTTGCACAAGCTTGTTAATTAAAGGTGTGGTTCACTGAAATAAAATCTTATTTCTGATTTTAACGGGTCACTCTGGGTGTTTCATGCAGGTTGAGCATGAAATAGTCTCCCACACTTATCTCCTGCATTAGCTTCTGATAGAAAACAGACGGTGAAACTCTACGATTAGAAAATTGACAGATCTACATCACACTGTCGCTTAACATTCATGGACTCACCCATCTTGACTCACGACGGGGAAGGCTGTTGTTGGTTTAGCGTCCAGGAAACCGCTAGTAGAAGCTAACCATTAGCATTAGCAACTAGTGTTGTCAAAAAAATTGATACCTAGATATAAATCAATGCTAAAAGTGGTATCTAAATTAGATATTCCATCCCTGTGGTATCGATATTATGGACTATTATACACAGCCATCTTCAGGTACACCGACACACACGACAGCCAGATGCCGTAAAGCAGCCTCCGCCTCCCAGACAGAAGAAGAAGACGCCGCATGGCTACATTGCAATTTCCCACGCAAGTTGTCTCCGATCCAAGTTTTGTCTGCCAAATAAATAAACAAAAACATAAACAGCGAATTTGGGAGGCGCTTCACAGCCCAACTTAATTAGCATACCAAGTCTGACACGTAGTTGTATATTCACGCTTATGTGCTTAAAGGAAAACTCCCGTTTATTGCAACCCGGACTTAATTTCTAGCATGCAGTTCGTTTGTTTACTCATGCTGACAACTTTGGTGCTACTTGGATTCCCCGGGGTATTTAGATCCATCGGCGAATCACCATCAGCGTATATCCATATAACGGGTGCGGACGGGCACCCATGGTGCAGCCTCGAAATAAGACGTTATCTGCACCAAAACATCTTCATGTCGAAAGGTTTTGTTAGGAATCATTAACATTATTCCCCTGTTCGTTTGGAGCGGGTCTGGGATTTCTAGGCGTGAACAGACTAGCTGCGGCTAATTAACCGGCGCTTTTAATGACGTCACTGCCGTGCGCCAATCTGTTTTTATTAAGATTATCGGTAGATGTACCTTTGTCCTACTATGGAGAAATTCGTTTTCTCCCTTTATTGACCAACAGAGTTGTTCAAAAGTACAGAACAAAACATATGGCATTACATCTTATGACAAAAATGCACCTTAAACAGAGTTTAAGCAGCAAAACATCACTCTTCAAATAGTGTATATATAGTGAGACAATTCATGATTAAAGTGTTAACTTTCGCCAGTTTTTGTATGCACGTTTAAAAAAAATGCTGAAACTTGAACGGTTTAAGCACTTTACACACTTAATTCTTAACATTTAATTTTTGCAATATAAATTGAGGAATGTTATTTTTTGAATAAACTTGTTCAATAAATTGGTGTTTTTAAAAAGTATCGAAATCGAGTATCAAGTTTTTTTCTTCCAGTATCGAATCGAGTTTGAAATTTTAGTACCGTGACAACCCTATTAGCAACACCACCGCACAGCAGAACTCCTCCAGGCTTGTGTTATATTTGGAGATAAAACATCAACATTGCAGAGCAAACAGAGTCAGTGTTAGAGTCGTGTTGCTGTTGGCCAATCAGAGGAGAAGTGTCCAGATATCAGGAAGTAAGACTCCAGATCCTGTCGTCTGAAGCTCAGCTGTGATCTGGCTCACTTCTAGATCCTAAAACAGACGCACCAGGGCTTTTCGTACCCAGAGTACAACTAAAGCCTAGCTTATGCTTCTGCATCTGCGCAGAGACATGCAACGCCATCATCTGTCCTTGCGAGCCAGCCGGAGAGCCCCTACAAGGACGGACGGAGTCGAGCCCACTTTTCTAAAAATGCGTCAAACGAGAGAGAAGGCAAGCTTGTGATTGGTCAGGTCACTGCGTTCGTCAGGCCGAAGATATCTGCAGACACCAAGCAGACTGAAGAATACCTCACGGAAAAACTCTACAAATATGAACATTTTTTTCACCCGTGACTGGATGAGTAAAAAGTTATGCAGCAAGCGTTTTATTATGATGGGAAACGTGAGCTTAGAGGTGACTAGCGCATAAGGAGGTGGAGGAGAACGAGGGACTAATTTGTCCGTGTTAGAAGTTTCTGAAATACAACAAACACAATAGTAAATGCACCATCTTGGACGGATGCATGACAGGATACCTCAGAACAGCGCCACGCCTTCTGTTGTCCTGGCGGGGAACTGCTTTGCTTTGCTGTGGAGCTTCTTAGTGGCTGGTGTCAAATTACAAACCAGTGCTGCAGCGTTAGCTTCAGTATAACCTTCCGTCCAACATGACTGACACGTTGCTCCTTTAAACAGTCAACACATAGTTGGTTTCTTTCAGAAGTCTTTATTGATTTTGCTTTTTGTGGCTCAGTTTTCAATTTATGAGTAACTTTATTACTTGTTTAACATTTATAATGTCAGATTTCACGAACGATCAAACAAACAATCTCTGAGTCTGAGATTAATAAAAATTAATTGACCAAGTACAGATTAATGAGGACGGTATATCTGTGGGCTTATGCAGGTCTAAGATTTGTGTTTGAACATGTGTGTGTGTGTGTGTGTGTGTGTGTGTGTGTGTGTGTGTGTGTGTGTGTGTGTGTGTGTGTGTGTGTGTGTGTGTGTGTGTGTGTGTGTGTGTGTGCATCGATGGAAACGGCATGTGTGGGCTTCGGCTGTCATGTGCATCTGACATGTGGTTAATAAGGTGTCACCAAAGTGTGTTTGAGATGGGATGCTTTATTCATTCACTTTCAGTAGCTTACATACTCAATTCATCTCCCAGGGAGAGACGGAGGAGGGGGGTGCACAGTGAGGGGGAGGGAGGTAAAGGAGACGGGGAGTTTGGAGGGAATGATCTGGGAGAGACAGAAAAAAGGGGGGAGACATGGGAGGGGGTGAGGGCAAAGGGAGGAGTGGGAATGGTGCAGAAAAGTTAAATGTAAATAGTCAGCTCATTATCCACAGAATATCCATATCAGAATGGAGAACGTGTCTGAATATGTAAACAGCAGAGCAGAGTCATGTTTATTATTCTGCCTGAAGATGACAGAATCAGGAAGAACAAACCCAAGCTGAAGCCGGCGCCGTGAATATGAATATTAAAGATGTCTCCTAGATGATAAAGCTCTCCCCCGGTCCCCCCGTCAGGCCTCGGCTGTCCCCGCTACCCTAACGCTCCCCAGGCCGGAGTCTCAGATAAAGTTTCGGTCAAGAAAATCAGTGTTTTCTCGTAGGATCTTGCTGATTCACTATGAATACATAAGTAGCTCATGTTTATTTATCTGTAACATCTTTTGGAAAAGGCGAAGAGTCAAAGAGGTGAGGAGTCCTCGCAGCAGGACACGTCGGTCTAAGCGTGAACAGAGAAGCGATCTACAAGCATAAAATATAAAACTCTTGAGTTTAAAAACACTCGATCAGAGCAGAACAGGATTTTTGGGTTTGAGTTACAGCCATCAAAGGGGTTTGAGGGATACTGGAGATCGTGAACAGCGATCTAGATTTTGTTGTTAGGAAGGTATCACAGTGAAGGAACGGGGATTGCATGTATTCATGTGGAAGGACAGCAGCCTCATGTTTATTTATTAGAAATCACAAATATCAGATGGGGGATGAGATGGGAATGAGAGCCAGATAGAAATCAAAGAAAAGCAGACATATGTTTATTTTATTTATTGAAAAGTGTGCATACTAAAGATTTGATCCTTCTACAAGATGCTGATGAATATGGACACAGCTGAGATGCGTTGGAAGCATTTTTACTTAGAATATTTTTAATATTTATTACAGTGAAATTAGGACTAGAGGGAAAATGGTGCATGGATGTGCAACAGTCTGCATTGTGTAAAGGATGGATATGTGACAGTAGGACCTGGGTTTAAGCCTGAAAAGTGGCCCGCTGAGAGAAGTGAGCCTCAGTGTAGGTACTCAAGTCCCTAGTCTGCTGACATTTCTAACATGTGGCAGAGAAATGGGCCATTTTCAGGCATGGAAGCTGTCAGGATCAGAGATTGGAAACAGATTTTGTTGGCAGATCAGTGACGAGGGATCCTGAGGGTTGGGACATGAGATTTTCAGTTGATTGTTACACAGAAATGTTTTTTGTTCATTGTAAGTAATCCGTTGACTACTTTACTTGAATTGTGTTTGATGTTTTATGGAAGAAAATATGTTGACTGGAAAACAAGGTAAGCTGAAACTCATCAATAGATCTATCCAGGTATTCCCCATGGCTGTAAA